TAGTACATACATTCCCTTTCTTTTTAATGAGAAAAATATATCTGCCATTTAAAACGCAACTCTTTCTTTACTATGCTCAAAGCATGTCTCCTCATACTCCAATATATGTCAAACTAGGTAAGAAGACAGACAATAACATAGAGGCAAACTTATTTCTGGAACAAACGTTATATGCAGCTGTTTTGTTTTCTCCCAGCTAAGACAGTACTTGTTTAATTGGAAGGAAAAATGTCAGAACACAGCTAACTGCCTTTTGCTTTTGAACTCTGTGCCAAAATTGTTAGGGTGGTGCTACTTGTGGGGTGGTGTTTCTACTTTCTCATGGATTCAACCAATCTGACTCGAAGATAAAAATAAGACTGTCAGTCAACAAACCAAACCAGTGATCCCTTAGCCATGATTCACTCACAGGCAAACTTCTTGCTGAAGGCAATGAACTTTTGGAAAAGGGTGGAGATCACAGGATGGTGAGATGTGAGACTCTTAATCTATGAGGTGCATGTCTATACTTGGAAATAGGCCAGGGATGTTCATGTGTAAATTCAAGTTCCTTTCCTGTTCTTGCTTTATTCACTTTGCAGAGGTGGATAAATCTGAGTGTTTCCTGAACTGTAAATTTCTAAAAAAAAAAAAAAAAAAAAAAAAAAAAAAAAGAAAGATCCAAGTTGGTATTAATCTCTATTCGCCCTTGCCCACGTCACTCAATGTCTTGTGGGAGCTGTAGTTCAGGGCTGATATTCCCTGTAGCGCACTGTAGTCTCCCCCTCCCTCCGGTTGAACAGCTGTGGTACATCAGCCTCATGTTCTGTTCTGTGCTGCTTTCTCTTGACCAAAAGTTCTGCAAAAGCTGCTGCTTCCTACAGAAAGCTTTCGGATATTGCTGAAACTGTTTTCCAACAGGAAAACACTTCCCTTAAATTTCTGGCCAATGTTATTTTTTGGGGGGTGGGGGTGTTGTTAACACAACAGACCAGTTAGGGGAAAAAACAAACCACAAAGAGAAGATTTATTTCATTGTGGTGTCTTTCTTTAATCATTAGTTTGCACAAGAGCTTTAAACTAGGAATGCTATATGCAATTACAGATGCAGAAGAAAGGTGCTATCTAAGCACAAAGTCTCTTGGAGGATGTTCTCAAGGCAGCCTGCATAAATGAGGTCTATTTCATAATTACTCCCACATATTTTGCAGATGAGACTGCTGATGCACAGAGATGCCACTCAAGACTATGCAGTTTTTGGCAAGGATAAAACTCATGTTTCATGAATGCCAGATTTGTCTGAAAGTTCCTTCTCCTTGTTGCTTGCAGTGGGGAAAAAAAAATAAGGCCGAGGGCAGAGCAGAGTGGAGGAAGAAATCCTAAGACACAGCTTTCATATCTTTATGCTCCTCAGACACTCTTCATGCTTACGGGTGTAACCATTTTGTGACTAAACTTGCAGCCCAGCTAGAAAAGCTTGCTGCTGAGCAAGGCTAATCTTAAACTATCCTTCGTTATCTATGTCAGTAGTAGGTTGAGTTTTAGAACGTAGTATTTTCATTTGATAGAATGAGCTGATATAGCTCTGTTGTCAACAACTTGCTAGGCCAAAATCAATTCATCATTATAATTATCTGCCTCAGGACTCCTTTTTGACTTGCTTTGCTTTTCCGGCTAACTAGACATGTTACCTCAGCATAGCTTTATAACATGCCTGCTGTTGATTTACTGTCACTTGAGGCTAGACAATTCTTGCCTGACAGCAGTTCCTAAGCGTTGCCTGCAAAACTTGTACAGAAGCCAAACCACACATTTGCACAAAGAAAATAGGCAAACGTGCACAGAAATGGATAGGCTAGAAACTGCTGCTGATGCTTAGAATGCTCGAGGACACACAGTCTTCTCTAGCTACTGCTAAGGGAAGGGAGAAAGCTTACCCATATGACAAGAGCATAATGAAACCCTTCAACTTCCCTAAACCCGCCAAAACACACAGCATGCCAAGTAACTGTTTCTGCTAGTGAAAGAAGACAGAGTGGCTCACTTAAGCCGCTGAGGCAGGTGTCGCAAGTCTGAGAAAAGATATCCATCACTTTGGAAGTCAAAGCAAAGATTCCCAAGATCAAATGTTCAAGACTTCCAGCTTGCCTTAAAACCTAAAGGTTGTTTTTACAGATCCCTTAATAAGGGGAATTTTAGATGGCAGATGGTTTCCTCACTCATACAAAGGAGGCAAGTGCAAAAGCGCTTCCCTTTAATTAGATTTTTTTTTTTTTTGTAATGAAGGCATTAGCAATAGTTCTTCTTGGTAAGTGTAGCTGTAAACATACTGTTTTGCAAGGTTGGGATAATTAAGAATGGAGTACTTTTCCTTTATTTTTTGCCTCAGACTCTTGTTGCTAATAGCCCTACAGTTCACTCTCGTCTAGCATCATCATTTCAGTCCTAGTGGGATCTTTCTGGTGCAAAACGGAGACAATTCCGAGGAACTAGACATGTGTCTGTATCTAATCAAAGTAGGCCACTGGAATGAAGTTTGCCATCCAGTGAATCTGCCGCTAACATACAGCGAATATCAGCATTCTCAGGGCTCTTAGGCCAAATAGCTTAAAACAATTAAAACAATCCCATCCTAAGCAACAAGATGTGGCTAGCGCTAAGCACGTTGGTAGCTACTTTGCTAAGGGAAAGCTGCTTTATAAATATGTGTTTAATATATTCTACAGTGGGCAGTGTAACCCAATGTTTTTATGCAGCATGGTTGACATTTCAAAAAAATGCAAGGATTTAAATGAGCCAAGTTATAAGTCAGCCAAGTAATGATCTTCATTTTCAGAAGATGGTGACTTGTATTCAGAAAAATGCATAATCAAACTTTCTGAAACCAAACCTAGGCAGAAACTTTGAGAAAACAGGTGTTCTAGTGTCTCTAGTTTCTGCAACAAATTTGCACTTAACCGAAATCTGTTTTAATTTCTCATCACACCTTGGTTTTTTTTTTTTTTTCTTTACACTTCTTGCAGCAACCATGCTTATATAGAATGTCCTCTTGCTTTCAGTACGGCCAGAGGTGGAGGGAAGGGACTTTACGTGGAGGAAGGGCAGAAAATAGCTCAAAGGATTTTTCCTTTCAGACTTAGTCTGCAGGTACTCTGCAGGGTTGTGTTATGCAAGTAAACTAAACTATGCTAGTGGTCAATTAGGCAACTCAGGTTCTAAAATTAAGGTAGCTACTTAGCACATGGCTCTTTGTCTGAGCCAATATCCTGAGCTTCCCAACAGATTTTAGTGCAGCTCTGCACTATGGTGTATCTTCTGTGGCCCATGCTGAGGTATCTCTACACAACAGTTCCATGCAGATAGATGCTAAAATGTGATCTCCTCCATGCTGTTCCACCAATAGGCCATTTACTGGGTCCTCATTAACTACCTTGGAGGATGTCTAACTCATACTGTGGAAAGGCAAACTATACTACCCCAGAAAAAGGTTTCACTATAGCTAGTCTATGAGCAAAGGAGAAAAGGAGAGAAATTATGCGAGATTTCCCAAGAAAACCCACATAATTGCTCCAACAAAGATCCTATCTCTACCTGTGCAGCAATCTCAGTTTTCTCATTTTATCCTCCTGCAGACCCTTCAGAGAATAACTGTGGAACAGCTCAGCAAACAAACCTCTTTACAACCTGATTTGGAATGATTTCACATCTCTCTTGCTCACACTTAGAAGGAAAAAAAAATCTATTTATTCTTATCAATGAAAAGGAAATTATAATAAGGAATTAAAAGCATTAGAAGAAGTTTTCCAAAGGCCTGAGATGAAAAAGGCTGAATAATGAAAAAATCCCCCCAAAACAAAAACAAACAAACAAACAAACAAAACAAAGCCCCAAACCAACTATCTTGCCAATATAAACTGGGAGAGAAAAGTTTAAACCAGTCAGGAACTTCCTGATATCTATGATCTGCTCACATAACTCAGATATAAATGCTATGCTATACGCACTAAAAGTAGGGAAGGTACTAATAGCTGGAGGAGCTGCTGAGCTGAGAGGGAGGGATTGTGGGACAATTTCTTTTTGGTTTGACAACAGTAATGGGTTAGAAGGCCAGGAGAACCCCCTTGCTCTCTTGGGCACCTTCCCCAATCCCTTTCTGCCGTCAGGTCTTGCTGCCACCTGCACAGGGTTTCCTTGCTAAGGTGAGTGGAGGGAGTGGTAGAAAATGTTTGGGGAGGAAGGTTAAGGGGAGGGCCTAAGCTGGACAATAGGAATGAGGGGGAAACCCACATGATGCAATGTTCTCTTCACTGGAGGATCAGGAGCTCTTGGCTGCTGCACCAACAGCTGTATCACGTAGCTGTGGCAGCTCCCACATTCAATCAAGAAACTTGCATTTAGCTGTAGGTAAACATCAACTGCCCTCTTATCAGCCTTAGGTTCTGTATTAAAACATCCCTCACGATCATCACTCTGCTGCTCTCTCACTCTTCCAAATACACCCCTTGTTCCAACCTATCTCACTTTCTCTTTGTAATTTAGACCCAGCTGAGACTTGGCAACAAAGCGGTACATTGTTTTTAATTAAACAAAAATTACTTGAGCAGGTGATGTAACTGTTCATTCACTTGCGGGGGAGTTAATCTCACTATTCCAGCTCCTTTCTGAACACAATGCAAGAGTGCCACAGGCCAGATGCGTTCAGCCTCCCTGGGGAGCCTGTGAGAACACTAGATCACTAATTTCCCTCACCTTTAGTGCCTATGGTAGCACCACCCTAAAATGTATATCTTTATGAATTAAATAAGCTATTAAACAATAGGCCTTTCTTTTCCTCCCTCAGCAATAAACGCACAAGCAGAGAGCGGATAAGTAGCTCTTCAAGTTAAAGTTCAGCGTATTTTTTATTCTTCCTACGTCGTTATTCTGAAGTCCACAGGCTATCACAAGCCATTAACTTCTTTACTGGCAGTTAGCACAAGTGACCTGCTTTGGAGCTATGACATGAAAATAAATGTACACACCTTGTTAGCCAGAGGTGGACCATCAATGCTTCTCTGCATGGAGGGTGGCACTTGGTAAATATCTTGGCCCACTAGACCATGACTAGTGGGTATCTGGTAGATTCCCTGATTCAGGTGGGAAGGTGGCACCTGATAGACGGGGTCCCGTGCAGAGGCACGTGAACTTGGCACTTGATAGATTTTTTGTTGGTTGAAGGATTGATGTGTCAGTCCTGAATTGGAGACATCCTGACCAGAAGGACTGTCCTGTACCACTGGGCCTATCAGAAGTTTCACGCGGTTGCCTGGAACGATGCCTTGCCGGCCATGTAAGGAGCAGAGCCACCATCCTTCAAGACCTTCGGTGTTCTGTTCTATCACTGTCAAAATGTCTCCTTTGCGGAAGGCCAACTCTTCTGCACATTCAGGGACATTATCATACAGGGCTCTTGCCATAAGATTCTGTGGAGAAAGAAGGAGAAGAAACACAAATGAAGAAACGAGTTAAATTTTTTTTTAAAACTTCAAGTACGTTCTAGGTGCAGAGAGATAAGAACCGAATTTGGAAAAGATGTCCAGCAAAAAAAAATGATACAACACAGGATTCCTCTTTTCTACCTCAGAGACATGAGATGCTTATACATTAGCGACACTGGTAATAAGACCTTTTCCAGTAATACTAGGTCAAATAGAAGCTCTTTATATCATCTATTTGCCGGAATAGACAAGCAGCTCAGGTAAGTTCTGCTCTCGTCTCTGAGATCTCTCTTCTTGTTAATTGGAACTTGTAATTTCGTCTCCTGACCTTGATTTCCCTATAACTGTTCTCTGTGCTCTGCATATTGCTAACATGAGCTTGCTGACATTTGAAATGAAACTTGAACAAGACTATTAGGGACATAATTCAGAGCAGTTATTTCCAACCTTTTTCAATTTGCAGGCTCCCAAAAGACGTTTCAGTGGAGGTGCAGATCCCATGAGTGTAATGACGGCAGGCTGGCTTTTCTTAGCTGCCACCTGCAGACTCCTTGAAAGTGGTCAGGGTCTGTGGACCACACACTGTGAAACACTGGTCTAAAATACAAATTGACAGAACGTCCCTGTTTCTCAGCTATGATCCTCATGTTGTTATCCAGCTCTATGCGTTCTCATTTTTTTCCTGTAAATTCCCTTGGTGGTACAACACAGTCTAGCTCCACCTTAATAGGCAAAAAGCGTCCCCTTCCCTTTATAAAAAAAAAAAGGGGGGGGCAGGGAAAAAAAAGACAAGGTTCCTCAGAGTCCTGCTCTCTGTAGAAAGATTTTGAATAGAACATTATTATAAAAACAAGCTGCCCAGTGATCCCAGCTGGAGTCATGGCTTTGTCATGGGAGAAGCTGTACCAATCTATATGGCTCTGCCCTTATGTCAAAGAGCATAAGAATTTAAGTATCAAATATTACTATAGAGCACATCCATATGTAACTTGGGAAGGACTTAAAGGCAGCCAAGGAGTGACTGTAGCCTAAGTCAACATACATAAAAGCATGTTTAAACAATCTTGCTCGATTATTGCAAGCAGCACAGTAACAGGCTTACTCTCACGTATTTGCCTAGTGCTTCAGACAGACTTTGCGGTCTGCACTAAGTGCCGTTCTGCTGGGGCTACACCACCAGCAGTACTTCTGCTAGGTGGTTTTAAGCCAGCTCTTGAGTCCATATAAACTTGTGGTCAGTGAGATACAAATGTCTCCCTAAAAACATGTTGCCTCCTTTCATAGACTGATTCAGGTCCCTTCCTCTTTCTCTCTGCAGGCTTGTCTGGCACATCCCATCCTGAATAATCAGCCAAGACAGGTTTTGAGTGGAAAGTAGGCAGGCTGTATGTACTGACATTCTTGGACCCCTCACAAAGGCCCTGAACATTTCATTTCTTGTCTCTGGTGATATTTCTAAATGCGTTGGCAAGAACTGCTCCATGCCTGCCTGCTTTTCAGTGAAGGCAGTCAGCGGAGGCAGTTAAAAATTAATTATAAGCACTTGAAATAGTATAAGAAGCCTTGTATCTGGAGCATTCTGAAGTATTTGGATGCAGCACACAAACTGAAACGGTGCTAATCCACCATAAAATGGGATACATCTTGCTGCAGCTGCCTTCCAGGTTTATCTTTCTTCTGTTAAAGGGATAGCATCAAGTACTGTTTAGTGTTTTTTAATTTATTTTATTTATTCTCCCTCTTGGACACATCAAAGCATTTTTTTAGCCCCTGCTTCTTTTATCTTTTCCCATAGACAAACACTGATGTTTCCCCACCACCTCTGTGCTTACCTAGAGAGCTGACTTCCATTTGGCCTTGCTCAGCTCAAAGTTTAACTGCAGCATACAGCCAGGAGGTTGTATGAAGGGCTGACTGGTGGATGGAGAAAGAGGAAGCTCAAATGTCACATAGAAGGTAGATGAATATGCTTTTCCCAAAACATGCGGGGTTGAAATGGGGTGCACAAGGTTAGTTTTCTTCTCTCTGAATGGGGGATCAGCTTTCAAATGTATGAGAAACACTGGCTTTGCCTTTCACCAACATCATTAGTGAGGTCAGTATAAAGTAAGCTTTGGCATGGAAAAGCAGTGCTACCATTCTGAACTGCCATGCAAACAGCAGCACTGGGCCCCACATTTCTCTCTGATGTATGTCTGTTTTGTTCCTCAGTCAATAATGCTAAGAAATGCGAATAAAGATAGAGCAAGGAGCTCTATGCCAAAGACTATGCCCCGACAGAATCGTAAGACTGATCGTTAGTATGGTTAAAATCACAGTGGTCGCTTCTAAGATGTTACATGTGTACTATCACTGTGTTGACTTTGCTGCTTAGCTGAGCCGAAGAAGCTCAGAAAAAAAAAGCTCCTGTCTAGTCTGAATAGTCAGGTTAATCTCATATGTATTTCTAATGTGGTTTTCACAGGGAAATCTACCAACATGCCTAGCTCAGGTTCTTGAACTGACTGTTTAAACAAGGCCTTTGCAGAGGGTGTTGTTTATAGGAGGAGGAAGATTACAGGGGCCCCACAAAACATACAGGCTATATAAACGATAAATACTTATTCATTATACTTAGTAATTAAAGGTATTTGAAAAGCCCGATTAGCTTCTACGGCAAAGCAAATCTCGGAACAAAGCTGGGAATGGTGGTTGAATTACAGCAGATAAAAGTTCCCATGTGAATTTTTTTTCCAGTTGCTCATTATCCCTGTCCTAGTGACCTTCTCACCACCTGGCGTGCAGCACGTTAATACTTTCTGGATGCGCTTCAAGAACTTTTTTGTCGCGAATAGCTTCAGACCCTTGTTGTCCGTGTTAACTCAGGCACCAGTACATGAATTATACTAATTGGTTGCTGCTTATTTCACAGCCATCTCTCCAAGACCTTTTAAATGGCTTATAGCCATGCCACCAGCATCAATCACTGATGGAGCAGGTGAAATATTCCTCCGCAGGCAAATAAGCACTGGAACCAAAAATATTAATCCTGTTGCTTACTTGCCAATAGCATAGGTACTGTCCATATTAAGCAAGTCCTTTATGGTTTGACTGTTCCCCTGACTCCCTTTCTCCTTCACAGCATTTCTTAGAATGACCTTCGGCAACAGTATCACAGTTGTTTTCATGAGTTAGCATATTCCGTCTCGAGGAAAAATGAAATAGTCACCACAGAAGCTCATAAGCAAAGCTTTTAAGAAACACAGAGCTATGTTTAACCTGATAGGGTGACTGAGATGGTAGTCTCTACTTTTCCACACATGGAAAGAAGTCCTGATGTGAGACACCTCTCCATACTTGTGGGCTTCATCTAGATTGATCTGACAGGTTGAATAATCTTCAGCTACTGTGGGCATCATAGCCCAAATCTCACAACACTCCATCTCACTGGTTTCATCAGCTCAGAGACAGGGGAGGATTATCTGAATTTAATTTTGACTTGCTCTTAGAGGCATAGATCCGTCACTCATATGTCTGAAGTAGGCATCAAATAAGCACTAACCTCTGAAATGCAAAGGCAAAAGCACAGCAGTGACCTTCTTGTATGACTAAGCACTAAAAAAAACATAGCCATTTCTTAAGCAAACAAAAAAACTGGCACTACAGAAAGGCCTGATGAGAAACTTGTCTTGGAGCTTGTTTTGGCAACTGGAAAGTTGTACAAAAGTCCCTTTATATTTCTAATACAATCCGTAAAAAAGGAGGGTGACAGACTCGGAACTACAGGTTCAAGTTCTTAAAAGGCAGGGGAAAAGTTATCTGATCCTCGAGTAGGGGCAAGTTTTGGTTCGCCATGGAAACCAGCTGTACTTCATAAAATAAACACGCTGGCAGTTACTCCCTTTTTTTAATAAGATTAAGGGTGGAAGTCTCTGTTGTTGGTCTTTGGTCCAGGCTGATTATTGCATTAAATGCCCAATAAGAGCAGTTGTGCTCTCCTCAAAAGCTGAAAGTAGCTGTGGTCCATATATAGCTACTTCTGAGCCCCCTATGTTATAGCAGTACAGCAGCCATACTTCAACTAGTGAGTGCTGCTCTAAAACTCGGTGGAAAGATTCAGTTCAGCGTTTTTTATCCTTAAACCCTGCTAGTAATACTGTGATATCTGGAAGTCTAAGCCAGGGTTGGGCCCCCACCATGTTAATACTCTGTACAGGCAAAAGAGAAAATGTTTGTTCTCAGGAAGCTTAAACTCCTCTTAACCTTGGACTGTTGAGTGTAGTATGAAGCATCTTCTATAAAAACCACCGAAAAAAAGAAAGTTTCAGTCTTCTCTAAAAGAAATGCTATACCAGTCATCAATAGGTCAAAGTGAAAGACAGCCTGACCATAGTAGCTACTGACTGGGGATTTTAGCTGAAACATTGCAGGAAAAGGCTCAGCAGACAGTGTTGATGGCTTGTGTCAGAAGTTCTATTTAAAAACTAAACGGAAATTGATGCTCTTTAGATTAAATGCAGATTACTGTGTCTGTGGTCCCAAATTTCTACATTAGCTGAGACAAAATTAAAGCTTTCAAGTGCTCTCTAGGTAAACTGAACCTGGGATTTGCAACTTCTATCTGAATGTTTTTTAAATGCCAGTTTAAGTTTGTTAGATAAGCCACAGAAAGGAGCAATCAGTTTGTTAGATAAGCCACAGAAAGGAGGAATCTCTATTCTCTGCCGTCCTTAGATTTTTGTCTTCTGAGTCCAGGATGTATGTCCTAGTAAAAGCTGACTGAGAACAAGTTCTGTTGCCCTGAAAGCTGTCAGCTGTTCTACTTGCTGATTCCTAAGCAAAAAATAAGATTCTGCAGGCTATTTTTCTTCTCATATGCTGCAGAGATAAACGGCCAGATTTCAGATGCATCAAGACAAAATGAGGACCGTCATGGAACAGTCAAAAGTGTCTTCTCTATCCTCAGTCTATTGAAACTGATAATTTACATGCCTACTGCTGAATGA